AAAAAATCGATGCAGTTGGGGATGCATGCAACCCAAAATCCAAAAAATCGATGCAGTTGGGGAGATCTGGCAATCCGAAATCCAAAAGTCGATGCAGTGAGGGACTCGTGAACTGGCAGAACCAGAAAAGTCGATGCACCGCCGGCCGTCGAGTGCATTGAAATTTGGTGGTCACCAGTTTGTCGTATGAACCATTCTAATGCATTGATTTTCATCTCACCCTGTCAAAACAAAATCAATGCACCGGAGGGGGGGGAGTGCGTTGAAAACCATGGATTTGGTAGGGCCACAATCTATTTTCATTTTCACTTCCAAAATCAAAATAGATCAGTACCATCCAAAACCATACCTTTTCAATGCACCGGAGGGGGTCCACTGCGTTGATTTCTATGTTGGGGGTCAGATTCAAAATCAATGCAGTTGAATGGTTTACCCGATGATCCAGTGGATTTTCAGGCTCAATCGCCACTTGCAGCGCAGCACTGTTTTTGGCTGCTCTTTCTGGTGCTGTCATGGCATCAGAAGGGCTGAATCCAGTTTTGAAGCAAGCAAAGTCTTTGTGCTATGACACCCCAGAGAAGACCCTAGCAGTGAAAAACGAGGAGGAACCGGTTGAGACCAAGGGTCCCGGGCCATCACCCCCCAAGAAGCACTGCAACGTCCTTGAGAAGTTTGTGAAGAAGCTTCCTGGCGACACTTCCGTGGTGAGAGATGCTTGGGTTGCACGGGATACCACCAATCACATGTTATATCTTTTTGGGGTATGGGTGGATGATCTCTTTCAATTGATTCTTCATTTTCTGCCATTCAAGTTTATTATATAAATATGACGTGGACTTTGGGTTTGTCAACTGGTTCTGCATGATACTGGTACCATCCTGAATACTTAGGAACTTCTGGACTTTGTGGGTGAATTCCGAGACGATACCAGTGGAGCCAAGTCTACTGCCCACCCAGCTGACGTTGTTCCGTACTTTTTGGCTTCTGAGAACCAGGAGGGCAACAAACTCCGGATGCAGCAGTTGGAGTTGTGGTACATGGGGTATCAGCAAAAGCGTGGATCCACAGTGGTCTACAAATCAATGTCCGACTTTGTCTGGATCTTAATTCTACCAGTCACTACATCGAGCTTACCATGTTGCCACAAAATAGACTTAGGCATTTGACAGCAGCATGGCCAACGACACTCTCAAACTGCCCGTGACCTTTTTGAAGTCCCTTGACCAGTTATCAGAGTTAAACAGTTTTGTTTTGGGCGATTGCTATCACATAAGCCTGACGCAATAAGCCACTCAGCTTCCCAGGCCTTGCTCCGCCCAGCCTTGCTCCCAGGTTCACACCACCTCCGGACGGAATGCCGTGTGTGCGGGATTGGCTGGTTACGTTTGACAGCATGTTGACAACCGGGGTGGACTTGGGACGAGAGCCACTGTCAACGAATGCGGGGGCCTCACACGACCATTGATCGCAATTGATCTTATAAAACATTATCTTTGGACTGACATCATTACAACAGTCACATTCAAATCAATCTGGGGATCTGAGGTGACATTGGGACCTGGCAGCGCAGACCCTACTAGCTTTAGTACTGTCATCAATGAAGTGTTGAACATATTTTGTTGGACCCAGAAGGATTTATCCCTCATATGCCCAGGTGCTCCAACCACCCTGAACCATTGCTCAGTTGACTTGATCAAGGGCTACACCAAAGCGTCGGTGGTGGCATTCATCCTGATGGTTGCTGCAGAAAACGACGTGGAAGCCGACTGGGAGAAGTTGGTTCCCTTAATGGAGATCTTGGACAAAGCCTGGTTACTCCCATGCCATGCACCTGGCTTCAAACCTTAGAACCTGTTTTTGGTAATCCATTATCCTAATATTATAGTTATTCATATGCAAGTTTACCTACTATGGCAATCACGATAGTTGTGGCATCAGTCCAACTATGTTCAACTAAAAACCATACCATCATGGTTTGCCCTCCAACCACAATCCAATCCCAACTCAGACAATGGTGAACCAGTCCACCACAGCGCGCAGCTACCTGAACTTGCAGTTGTCCTACCGCGGATCAGAGCGGCAGCCTCCGTCGGCGCTGAGCGTGGCGCTATTCTTTTCGGGCATCATGCAGGCCAAAAGCGAGGATGGAACCCATGACAAATCCATGTCAACAGAATCCAGACTCAAAGCTGTGATTGCCGAATATCATGACCAACCAGGTGTTCTGGCGCGCTACCGCATTGACCCAGACAAGGAACGTGCAATTCTCAACCTTGTGGTTGGTACCAGTGCAGGTACCAGAACTTTGATCCAAGCCCATTTGAACCACCACCGCTGGCGAGAGAGCTGCTTCACAGCAGATTTACTCAAATCCTCAAGGTGGTTGATTGGGGCAAGTCCTCGCAATTGCAAAGAGTACATGAAGTCAATGTTGACAGTGACTCAAAGGATTCAGGAGAAGTTCATGCAAAACGTCATTGCATGGTTTTCTGGGCAAGTGCAAAAGATCCGGGCATCTACCAGGGCCAAATTCCGCCCATCTCAAACTGAGTGGGACCGCATGGTTGACTACACATGTGTCATGGAACGAGTGAAGGTCGAAGCACAGGCAACCCTCACCCATGACCCTGAGAAGTGCAAGTCCGTGTTGAAGAGCATCAAAACTTGCTTCGCAAACAGGCCCAGTTGTGTCCAAAGCGCTTGTTTCACAAACACCTGTTCCAAAACCACACCTGGTCACTGACATTCACCAACCCATCCTGCCTTAAAGTGATGGTTCTCACCAGCCGCCTGGCCAGGGACTACTATGAAGAAGTGCAAACTTGCGTGGAGGTGGCCCTGGTGAACTGGAATGTCAAACACCTTTCGATTTGGTCCGAATTGGTGCAACCAGCAGCCCTTGCTTTGGACGAGGCTCACACTGATGTTGTGGAAATGGAAGAATGCACACTGGACGCACAGTTCCAGGAAGTCCGAAGCAAAATCTCGCACCTCAACTTCATCAGACTTATTGTTGATTTCTGGGTTTCTCATCATCACTACTTGTTTTTGAAATGGTGATATCCTAGTCTGTCCCTGCTTCTGAATCGTTAGGATGGATGAATTGGCCTGGGTCCAGTACAAGCAGAAGCAGCAGAAGAAAGCCGCTCGTGAACACATCTTGTCCGTTTCTCACACCAAGTCCCAGCTGGCCATTGGGAAGGGGATACTTAGCAAGGTAGTTTGTAGCACTTTTATAACTTTTGCATGTTTGGTCTGGACTGTTTGGTTTTCACTACCTGCTATGTACCATATGGTTGGGACGCTTACACTCTACTCCCCTGCAAAGGCTTGTCGAAAAGTTTATGATGAAGTCCTGCAACATGAATGCCTTGGCAGATGTCTCTCAGCTTCCCAACCTGGACGCCTGGTTCCGTCAATCAGCAGCAGATCTCAAGGTTGGTCAAACCAGGGTTTACTATTATATGGGGTTGACTGACAAAAAGTGAAAATATGTGTTGACTGTATGCATATTATGTAAATATTATATTATTTTATATTAATTCCAGATTGTTCTGGCATCCCTGGAAGGTCAAAGCTGAGCAGCTTCCGGTGTTGGTGATCATTGACTTTACGAAGCTGGGCACATTGACTACTGTGAACCTCAACAAGCATTGCGCCCTCCTGGCAAAAGTCCTTGGTCGCAACCAAACCTGCTTCTCGGTTTTTGAGCCGGACTGTTTCTTCATTGTTTTGCTTTTAATGAAGCGCTTGGCAACTAGTTTTGACATGATGATAGGGTCTTTATGATCCTGTTTTGAAAAGAATCCTATCGAAACAGTATCATAACAATGACTTTAAAGCCAGGCTCTGCTGGACTGATCTTGGCTCCGCTTCTGTTTGGCACTGCTGGGGGTGGTTCCCTTCGCCGAGATTGGAGGCTTGGTGTGTGGGAAAAACAGTGGTAAAATGATGTGTCACTGGACGCTATGTTTCCATGTTTGAAACAGGGAGACCCATATAACTATGTTTGAATCTGACTCTAAGTTGTATGAATCACTTAGCAATGTCCGCTCCAGCATCCAATCTCTTGTGGAGGCTTGTGGAAGACAAGATGGGTCAGCTGGGTTTAGCTCTCCGAGACTTACGCATCCCGATTGATTGTTCTGAACTTCATGGCAATTCTGAGCGTCCGCTGTTCTTTCATGGATGGCTCGCGATCCCTGATTCGACTCTGCCGGCCAAGGGTGTTGGCTACAGGAGAAACACCAATGAGGAGTCCAGGGATTTGTCAGCTGTGGCTGTGAACATCTTCAGTCAGTCCGACCTATGGAAGTTGCAAGGTCTTCCACTCGAAAATGTTCCACGCGCTGTGTGTGAGGGGGATTTCTGTGTTCCCTCCCCGAAAAGCTTCTTGATCAGCGCAGATTCTCGACGCAATCTCACGGACACCCAAGAGACTGCTCAGTGGATAGCAGGGGAGGATGTCTTTAGCAAATTGATCAAGAGCGCATTTGGTGGCCTGGCTTTGATGACAACTTTATTATACTTTCTTTTGTTAGTCTCCCCGCTTCCCCTGCAGGGTTTGGGTGCAAAGACTTCCCGCCTGGTTCCAACACTCCTTTGGGGATTTCAAGATTATGTGCCACTTAGGCCGCCACTTGCAAAAGGGTGCCGTGGTGCATTCCACTTGCTACTGCGGATCCGTTGAGAAAGCTTGCATGGCTTTGGGGGTGCCTATCACATCTGTCTCTGATGTGGCGGTCAACTTCACCTATGCCTCATCGCGTTTGGCAAATGGTCTTCTCGAGGAAACTTGTGATGAGAAAGATACTGATACTGAAATGTTTGTGATATTAATGATGATACAACATGTTCCTTGAGATCCATAGATATCCAGAGATATTATACAACCAATTTGCAAATCCCAGATTTTCCCTCCTTACCTATGACCACTTCACTTGCAGGACTGGAAGGGTGGAGTTGGCAAAGTGGGCCAGCTGCTCCCAAAATTCAAACGTGACTATGTGGATGACGCCCCGATGGAACTCAGCTTGCCAGACTTTCACGTTTGCAAAGAACAAGATGGGCAACTTACGATTCCTGCTGAAACACGTGCCCGCTACATCCAGGACCCTGTGAGAGGACCCGAGTGGAGAACACTGCTTTCCCGCTTCGACCAGGCCTGGTGCAGTGATGTCAAAGCGCAGCCGCGAGCAGCTCCACCTGCCACTACAGTGACAGCAATGGCAACCCGAACCGAGACCGACAATACCGGTGATGGTGAAGCTGATGGTGAAGAGACCGGTGGTGGCACAACTGTGCCAAACACCTCTTCTTTGGACAGTGCATTTCCGGATGAGCCTACCACCCAACAAGCTCTGCAGGATAAGTACCCAGGAGCACACAAGGTCTCTATCGACTCCAACTTGCATCTTGTGGTGTGTGAGGGGCCAAAGCTATTCTATGTAGCCACAGGGGATGCCGAAGTGGACATTCATGAGCCCGCCCTTTGCTATGGCGCTGGAACATGGGTGCTGGACCAAAAGGCGAACCAATTTCTCCAGGATCGGGTTGTACATCTCTGGTTGACAATTGGTCAATAGTAATTTTATAGTCTCTGTCTGGCAAATTTCAATCTCTTATGGCGCTACCTCAATTCCCCTTGTCAGGACCATCCTGGCAAAGGCTATGTCTTCAACCTTGAGAGTGATGAAGTCGAGGTTGTCTTTGAGGACCATCTAGATCCACAAAATGTCTACGTTTTAGAAATGACTTATGTTGTGGCATCCCTTGATTCCTATAACTAGAATGAGAGAGGGACATCTGATCAAATAGTGCCATCAGGATTCGAGTGGCAATGATGAACCACTACAAACGGTGCGGAGTGTTTTGATATCCTTGGAGCAGCGATCCATTGTGGACTTCGAGCTGGCTGGCCACACTTGTTGTCGACCAACCGCTGTCACCGAGGGACACGAGGATGGGGACAGGCTTGGGGTGCAAAAAATCAACAACCATAAATCTACGAATTACTTTTTATGTGGAAGATTGAATCATATTGTATGACAGTTCATGCAATTTCATTCATGCATAGATGTTCAAAAAGGCATACCTTTTACACGGAACTGGTCAAATCAAGCCAATTCCCCAGGTTCGACGTTGAATTGAAGGAAGGCACCTGTATGCTTTGGAAGCCTGGATCAGTGCAACTCAAAAACGTAAAGCCCAAGAATGTGGGATCCTACTTCACCGCGTCCCAGATCTTTGACTCACCAGCTGTGAAACAGGCATGGTGTGACTCATAGAAACATAAATAAGTATATTTTATAGAATGCAACCTGTTGAAAACGGTATATGCATTCATTCCCTGTGGGCGGGTCGCTGCAGGTTTGGAGGGTGAGGTACTATGAGAATGAGAAAATTCTTGGAGCTGCCAAACCGCTGCTGTTTTTGCGAGACAAATTGACCCTCAATGCAGGGCAGTGCAAACGCAT